CAAAGTAAGCTGTCCCTAAGTACTCAACTGAAGCAACCTAAGAGCAGTGGTAGGAAGTATGGATACCGTCGGCATCTGACTCAGAGAAATCGATGCACTGTGCATAGAATACTCCATTCTTATTTATCCCATAGTCGCTAGTCCCGCACCCGAATTCCTGGTAAGTACCAGTCGTCCCCCCAGCGCTTATCTTGAGATTAAAAGTACGGGAGCAAGGGTTGACATTGTTCTGAAAAGGACAGAATCTAATCAGCATTATGAACGCCGGCCACGGAAACGGGTTCTTACTGGTCCGATGACAGTGTAGTCACTTTTGGGATGACCAGAGAACCAAGCGACATGGTCTTGATTGAGAATGAGAGTGCCGAGGTTGATTCCACTATCAAATATCAGTGTGAATGCATGGAAAGGGACATGCGGCTTACTTGATAGCTGGAACCAAAGTAGAGTTCTCGATTGGGGAAGCTGTGACGAGAGAAAGCAAGACGGCCATGGAAGTGGCGAACAACATTTTCGGTGATTGACTGAGGAAGTTGGCAGTGAATGGCGACCTGGTTGTGTTAGTAGACAACGAAACGAAGTTGCGATTCTTTTATACTCAGAACGCGGCTTACAGAACAGTCACCGGCCTACCTTGGTCTACACCGGGTAGAACAAACTCTTCCTCATCGTTGATCGTACATTGGCGCGTTCAGCTACACAGATCGAGCGACGAGCACGGACCCATTTTGGTGCAAGATCCAGAGCCGCTATTGTGGTCCGTCTGATGGCTTGGCAAGCCGTGTTCCAGACACCACACGCTCAACACAAGTAACCTTGCTTCATACAATGGTGTTCTCCTTGGTCGCAGACTTGCCCTTTCTGGAACATAAATCAATGAATCAATGTGCTGAATACTTCCGGCGCCGTAAAAGTCTGGAACCATAAATGCTGAAAGAATGTGCCTTCGATTCGGTCCGGCATATGCGGGTTGGGAGACAAATTTAAATATATTATCCTGGAGGCCAAACATCATCATTCATTCAGTGTATATTGCACATTCGATGTATTTTAGTTCTGCATTCCGTACTGCTGGGCATGAAGTCAATGGGGATGAGGAGGAGAAGCGATGAACACCTGTCCTTTGAGTGGTTGTTGAACGGCTGATCGGCGAGGTCGAAAAAAATTCAGGCGCCCCATGATCCATAATCTCTGATGCCGGGGTTCAAAGAACGAGACAGTCAAGTTTGAAATGGAAAGCGGAGCGACAATATTCGTGCGCCGTCGAGCGGTTGAGACAGAAAGGCTGGATAGAGGTGATGGCAAGCATGCCCACACTGATTCAAGGGATCTGCTTAAAATACGGGTAATGAAAGCGTATGAATATATTCAATTCACCCGCGAGTCCATTAATTGAATGGTACAGGGTCTCGATCTCTTGAGTAATGTATTGGCAGCTATTACAATAATAATCTTGTGTTCGTAGATATATTCAGTCATCGCAGAAACTGAATATGCATGGGAGCCGAATCCATTCCACATGCATTTTACAGGGGGTCGTCTTCCTTGAAGAACAAAGGTCATGCGAAGAGCGCCCCCAGCGCGGACTCTTTCGACAGACAGACGGAAAAAGGTTTTATTCGAAGGCCAGACCGAAAGACAGTTGATCGATATGCGGGAGAACAGGAATTGAGATGCGGGGGAACGTGAATTGAGATGCGGGGGAACTTGAACACACAGCCATGCTTTCGCCACTAGCCACATATGACAACGGCGCGGAAGCCGGGGGTCGGGGACTTGTTCCACAAGCTTGACAGCTCCTGCCCTCTGAAACACTCTTTCGGCAGACAGATGGAAAAGGTTTTATTCAACGGCAGACCGAAGAATCCGAGTCTGGGTATTGAGGAACATAGTCGGAGTCACGGGGTCAGGAACGATCCTCGAGAAGTTCATATGCGGGAGAAGTTGAATTGATATGCGGGAGAACGTCAATTGACATGGGGGGGACTTGCGCACGCAGGCGTACTTTCGCCACTAACCACATATGACAATGGCGCGGTCCACCCAGAACGTACGATGATGCTCCTATGCTAATGCTCCCGGGTGGTTTCAGATTTCCTCATTCAAACAAAGTGACCGCATACCGCGCCCCGCATATGTGAGTGGGATTCAGATCCGTGTCGACGGCGATGGCCTCCCCACGACAATATGAGGCAAATCAGGTTCGACAGTCATCTAAAATTAGGGGTGTGGGAATGACGGTTTCAAGGACTCACAGAAACGCAGTGATGGTTGGAATAGGGACGTCCAGAGAAAAAATTGGGCCCGAGTGCATCGGCGAAGAATTTGAGTCCGCCTCGGAAATCAACAGGGAAAAGGCTCGAATGAACCCTTGTAAGTAAGAGATCAGTCAAAATGGAATCTGGACTGAACTTTGTCTGAGCAACACTGTCAATCCTGAGCATGGATTCAATTCTTCGGACCACTGATTCTTAAAACTGTGAGTCCTCTCTAAAGCACTGGTTGAACATTTCAAGTTTTTTGCTGAAAATTTTGGTGAAAAATGTTTTGAATTTTACAACAATTTTTCACCCAAAAAGTAGGTGAAAAAACTCGAATCTTTTTTGTGATTTTTTTGAACCTTGTGAAAAACTTCTGAAAAAGTGCTGAAAAAGTTTTTGAAGTTCAAGAAAGTCATGAAGAAGTTTCAAGTTTTTCACTTGGGTTTTTCACTGAAAAATTGCTGTAAAATTCAAAACATTTTTCACTAGTTTTTTCACCAAAAAACTTGAAATGTTCAACCAGTGAAGAGAACACTGGATAACCTCCTGCTTCGGACTTCGTAAATGCCAACCTTTCATGATCATGATTGAATTGATCTAAACCAAGGCATCTTCAACAATACAATAGAGTGGTAGATCTAGATGTGTTTCATTGAACACTTTGTGGTGGTCTTCCGTGATGGGACTATCGTCCAGACATGGCAATTGATCTCAGAGCCTGAAAGAAGGGGAGGTCCAGGGTCCAGCGCAAGATACGGCATCCTTCGGCGGCTGATTAAGACTCTCCTATTCAACATCTATTTGGATGGATGTGCCTCTAACCACAGGATTCAACTGTTGTATCACTTTGGAAAGTAAAATCAGGATTAGGGATATATCTCTGGTGAGTACAATAATGCCAGGATAATGCCAGCCATTCCAGAATAATGATTGATGTACGTTGCTCAGAACTTGCTCTCTGTAATGTGCATCGCTGGCAATTATTAATATTAGCAGGGCTTTGGGCACATTGACAGAGGACTACGGATTGGAATCCAACTGCATGAATGAGGAAGGAACAAGCAGCAAAGAAAGGAAGGAAAGAATGTATTTCAAACTCCGCTTTGGAGCCTTACTTGCCGCGGGACTCGATGCCGGGCCAATTTCCGTAATAGACTTTCTCCGAGTCCGATCAGCGCCGGACTGCACACAAAACCAAAATGACAAATGACTTGAAATGAAGAATTAGGAATGGCGCTAACCACACATTGTACAGCAGGAAGAAAATCCTTCTATGGATGCATGCAATGAGCTGGCCGGTGGCAACCGACACTTCCAATAATAGAGAGTTCGCGCAGGAGCCACAGGAGCTATTTGATGGCCGTTTTGCAGTGCGCAAATGGGTGGCTCCACCTGCAAAAAAATGACGTCGGATGGCTCCACAGAGCCACTGGTGGCGAATTACGCTGTGTGGAGCCATCCGGTGGCGCACTTCCAAAAGGCCATCAAGTGGCTCCAATGGTTCCTGCGCAAACTCGCTATTTAACCACGGGAATTTTTGCTTAGTTTTCTGTTCATTTTGTGTGATGACTAATTTTGTATGACGAATTTTTGTTTGTCCTTGTAGCAAAATTGAACGAAATCAATGTTCTCCTGGGTAGCCAAACCTAAAAGTTCAGCAATTACCAAGTGGTTCAGAATGTTCTAGTATATTGGTAGAGTATAAAAGCCTTGTAATTAGTTAGTAGCACTTCACCGGTTTGCAAAGGAATATATCCTCTGGCAACTTCTCAACCTTCTGAGCTTATTTCAACAGCATGCCCTCAGATTTTGGGAAGTCAAAGCCATGGCTTTTAGGCCAAGCCAAGGCCGGAAAATTGCTATCCCTTCCCTCTTGTTTTTTATCCTCCGCAGCGTAACTGACCTCGCACACATACAGAAGTAGATATCGTCATCATCGCCAGGGCTATCTGGGGCAACGATCCATCGCAAGACTCTAACCAGAGAAGAAAGGCGATCCATCGTGGGTTCTAATCAGAGGAATTCGCGATGCATCGCCTAGAAGCCTTCCTTTTTTTGGTTGGGCGTGTCATGCAGGCGCATGTGATCGGGCGCCGGCGTTGCCCCGTCGACGCCGTTGTTCCATGGGCGCACGCTGGCGGGCCGCTGTCGGGTGGCGATGCACCTACCATTTTTGGTACCTTCTGTCCGCGGCCCTGACGGGGTAATTGAGGTTACCATTCTTCCATGATCCCGACCTATTTCCCTTCTCATCTGATCATTTATTTCATGGCTTTGGCATGGCTCGCTGATCCTGGGTCCTGTATTGTGGGCTTTATTCCCCCTCCTAGCGGCCACGGAAAAAAAAAAAAAAAATTAAACCATAATGGTCCTCTAGAGTCCTCTGTAAATGCATTGACGAGGCCGGTTGTGGTACAATGACCACTGGACATTCAGAAAAGATCCCCGGGTACAGGCTGCAAAAACATACCAGCACGCGTTCTGCACGATCCAGGGATATTTGCTCTGGTGTGGTTGACTTTTTTATCCTTCTTGGTTCCATTTTCTCATTACTTCGAAGCAGGGGATTTACCGAACTCGATACTACGAGAAATATGATGGATCAGAGTTTTACGTCGTTTAACGCCCTGAGTAGCAGAGGTCACGCATTCAAATAACTTATATCTACACCCACCCAGAGTGAATTTGTTGGACCGAGAAGTCGAAGCTCCAGAAAGCCCGCGTGACACCGATGCTTCGCGGCTTCGGCGGAAGTCGAACCCGCGTTTCTCTCCTAACAGCGTGCCTTTTCCATCGGAGTAGGATGAGAGCAATCTCGCTGATCTACGAAGCCGTGGCGATGGGTCGAATGGATCCTAGATTTAGCCCTCGGTTGTGGATGCTTAGTATTTGAGTGCTCGTATCGATTCGGGAGGACGTGCGGGACAGAAGGTGCTTGGTCCCTCAGTGAACCCGCCGTCCAACAAAGAAATCGTCGAAACAAAGGGCACGACGTTGGCGCACGGCATCGGCGGGAGTAGAACCCGCATCTTGCTTGGATTCCGAGATCAGACTATAGGACGAGGAATCTGTCCGGATCTACGAAGCCTTGGGAGGCGTGAGGAGATTTATGCTCCGAGTCAGTAACGGCAAGACTCTATGATTCTTGAAGCTGCGCGGAGCCAATTGCAAAGAGAGTTCAGGCAGATCCTGGCAGAAAGCCAGAAGGAGTGCATTGAGGCGGTCTGCGGGGTGCGGTTCTCCGCACCGGACGTGAGAAGAGCATGAATGAGAGCGGGGGCGAGGTGGGGAGAGCGAGGGAGAAATTTAGGCCGGCAAAAAAGTGGATCGCGAGGGGGGGATTTCAGGCAACCTTGGACATGAGGGAGGATAGTAATTTCGGACGCGACGGGAATCCCTGGACCGAGCAGTCGAACCCCTCCAAAAAAGCAACGGATCACGGCGTACGGATTCGGCGGGAGTCGAACCTGCATGCCCACATTAACTAGCGGCCATGAGACGAGAGGGATTTACATTGATCTACGACGCCTTGAGCAGTAAATGTACCCCGAATCAACCTAGCGACGGCATGGGACGGTAAAGAGGGGCAGGAAGGCAGAGACGGCCGCCGCGGCGACCACCAAATGTGTAGGATTCCAGGAGGGCGGGGAGATGGGAGTAGAGGTGTACAGAGAGAGAGAGCATGGAAGGGGAGAAATGAGTACGTCGGGGTGGGAAAAGAGAAGGAACGAGAACGTTGCGAGAAGGAGAGTGACATTTCGGATCAATCGGATCGATATCGGATCAGTCCCCTGCCATCTATCTCTCCGTCCAACGTCTCTTGAGTCTTTTGCAGAACTAACCATCTTTTCTGGCTACCCATCCCTGCAAGTCCTCCACGTAGTGCGCGGCTAGGGAGCCGTAATTTCCCGGCACTCATTGGATGTCTCTCTTTCTCGCCGCGACTCGACTACTACTGGTGCGTCCGCCACCCGCCCTTCCCTTTTCTCTTCTCACTGACGCAGACACAGGCGCAGCCTACTGATACCCGTCCCGACCGAGCATCGATTCATACAATGATTCAACGAGGCATCTCTGATTCTCTCCTCCTCCAGTGGTAGTCGATCCCGCCCTCGAGCCACGGTGCATCCCTCCCGCCTCGTTGCCCAACGCGCGCTAATATTAATTTAGACACGCTAGGACTGTGACTCGGACTCCCCGGTCTATGTATCCTCAAGTTTCACGGCGCACACGCTCCTCGGCGCCGCACGCGACTCGGATCCCCACGCGGGCGGCCAGCTGCAGTACATGCACCATATCCGCGCGTCTTATACTTTTGGCCGACGTCCCGCCTCAGAACGGCTGGTGCTGTTCAGCGTGCCCCAGCGCCCTGCACACGACGGAGTACATACAGCCCAACTACATCTGCGCCTGGAAGCGCGCACGCGGCGGCCCACTCGACGCTCGCAGCTCGCAATCCTACTAGCTAATACTCGAGCGTACATTCGCACGGCTCCCCTCCGCTCCATGCCCTTGACTCCGGTGCGCACATAGACACGCTCCCACGTCTGCGACCTCTCACGATCCACATCCGCCCCCGCCCATGTCGTGCTAACTCCGCACAGGGAAGGGCCGCCCCTGCGCCCCCTCCTCCTCGGACAATGACAACGATACGGCGCAGCCCGTCCGCCCGCAGGCCGTCTTCCTTGCCCCTACTCCCCGCCCAGCTACTGCGTTTTGTTCCAGCAGCAGCGCCGACTTTCGACACTACTCCCAGCGCCGATACCGTGCCCGACGCCGCTCGCCGCCGCCCGCAACCTGACCCCCCTAGCGCGCCGAGCCATAAGCCCTGCACGACGCGCAGCACCCCGCGAGCGATCAGCACCCTCGCGCCACCAACGCAAACACTTTCCTTTTCGGCCCCTCGTGCGCCGCACGACCCCCGCCCGCTCGTCCTGCTCCCAGCGCGTCCGCTCGTCGCGATCGTGCTCGTACCCCCTTGCGCATGCCCCCACCACACCCGCACTCGCGATCATACCTACAGCACGGCAGGATGGCAGGCACACGGTGGACGGCCCGCGCCCCCGCGCCGCGTGCGCCCGTCCTGCGCGCGAGTCGTACTCCTCCCGCGGCCCCTCGTTGCGCTCGCAATTGTATCGCAGCGGGGATGCGCGCAGTGGGATGCATACGAATAAATCCGCGGCGCTGCATTCCTGCCCCGCATACTGGCGCGCTACCGGGGTATGGGTGTGGGCGCGCGGAGGACGAGGGCGCCGGGCGTGGAATAGAGGGCAGGTCCGCGCGTTGGCTTGCGGGGTGGAAGAACACAGGCGCGAACGCAGCATCGCCTGCGGGCGAAGACGGGGTACGCGGGGCCGCGTGTGGAGAACGATCACCGGATGCGTGGTGGGGGGACACGGGCTGGAGCGGCGTGGCGCGCGCGTGCGCGGAGGCGGAGCAGGAGGAGGAAGTGGGCGGAGAAAGGGGAGGGAAGAAATGAGTGCGCGCGTGGCCGCCGTTCGCTGGCTACGCGCGGAGTGTGCCGATGGATGATGTCGTTCTCATCCCGCTGGTGTTCACATCCTGCCATTGGCTTATCGACCAACTTGCCTGGCACGTTTCTGCGGCGTTCTCCTCGCAAAACTTAATAAAGGACGGTCAGATGGGAGGTACTTACATCGGACAGCTCGACGCGGCGGTTATTCCACCGCTTCCTTTCTGACTCTCCAACATTCTCCTCGCAACACCCGTATGCAGGACTTTCACACAGGTCACAGCTGCGAATTGCGGCACCGCCCATGGCGACACTCAAAACGCGAGAATACATTTGGCCGTTATGGTCTGCTCACAGATTATTTCGCGACGCTCGTAGCCTAGTTGCGTCCCTCTGGAACGCGTTTACTGCCTCCATCGGTTCCTCGAGGTCTGCATATTCCTATGCCTATTCGTTGATAGGTCCACTATAAATTGGGTTTCGCAGATGTCTGCATGTATAACTTTGGTCTACGGCAACATTTATTTGCCACAGCTGCATATTCTGCAACAGTAATGAAGCGGAAGCGTGCAATCCATGGGGTGCGCCTTTGTCACGATCTGCTGCATGATCACCGTGCCCATATTGGAGGCTTATCAATGACGTCTGCCTTCTCCATGTCGATATCCAATCCCACGCCACTCATGCACTGCTGTTCCATAGATTCTTCCGGCCTGATCTTCGATGCCACTTAAGGTGTATAATAACATTCGTTCGACCATTCTCACTGACAACTCCCAGCTGCGACTCGCATTCATACCTGCAGGACCTCCTGGGCGAAATATGTAGGCGGCGTCTACTCCCTAATTCACCTCACCCGGAGGACATCATAAATTGTCAATCTTGGCGATTCAACTGCTGGTATGTACAAATTCATGTTGCTCTGTCTCTTTGCAATGACTAACCCCTGCGCCCTTGCTTCTGACAACCGGCCCGCGAGGGAATCTGGTTCAATCCTTGTCAGCGCATACCTACAGCACAGTCAGTCCCTGCACAGCGGATATACGAGAACCTGAAAAGCTCACCCCGACGGGATTCCTCACTGCGATCCCCTTACAAGTCAACCCCTTGCAGCAGGATGTGCTCACGCTGAGAGAGCAGGGCTCGTCGCGCTGTTGGCATGCGGACCCGCTCAGGGCGGTGAGGACGAGGGTGAGGATAATGTATTTGAGAGTGGATGGCAGCATGTTCGGGGGGTCGCTGAATTGAAGCTGTTGCTATGCCCTGCGTACCTTATGCTTATACGTCTCAGGTGCATATCGTACGATTCGCGGAAGCGAACAAGGCTAAGGGTGGCGCGGAAGGTACTAAATTTAATGTCTGACATACTGGATGTATCCGATTAGTCTTACGACAGCTCGCAAATTGCGGGCTGGATGGTCCTTTTAAATTATCGGCCTCAACATGGAATCTCAATTTCGACTATCAAGTCTTCGTCAAGCCGGTCGTCCATAGGTAGTCACTTGGTGTGCGCCGTGCGGGCGAGTCAAACCCAAATGGAGACGAGACGATTGGGGACTAGCGTGTGGGAAGAACTAGGAGGAACTGCGGATGCGAACATGGAGACAGATGAATGAAGGCAAGACGATGCGACAGTATGTAGAAAGGAGCAAAGGCGGCAGAGGTAAGTACTCAGGGTGAACTGAGAAGGAATGTCCCCCAAAAGGGAGTCTTCATTTCGCCGCTCGCCGTCGGGAGAAGGAAGGCCGATCTGAATTGCAGACATTAATAATGGAAATTGACCGGAAGCGAAAAAAGGCGGAAACGACAAGTGGAAAAAAGGAGGTGCCACCACCGTGCCAAGTTATGGGTTAAACTGTGCGTGAAACCTTGAAATCACTCAGGCCCAGTTCGGGATCCCGAATTGATAAATAGACGTCAAATTAGTTTTTGACAAACAACGTCCGAAAAGGGTATCCCAGACCTCTGGCTAAATACACGTGGAGTCACAGAGTGACTTGAAGCTGTGCTCGTAATTACCGACGCGCATGCACGCGTTTACAACGTGTTCTGCGGTCGCGCCACGTGTCAAGCCTTGCACGTCTCTACTATCATCTACCATGGTGCTTATACAACCTCCAACAGTCAAAAAGAAAAGTGTACCAGTCTATATTCATCGCAACAAAATCCGAAAGGTGTGATGTACTTCTTGTCCCGTATCGTGGCGTGCGCTACCACCTGCAAGAATGGAGGAAATCGGGAAATTTGCGGTAATGTCAGCACCGTTATCACATACACTGATTGTTATGTTGCTAGACCCGCAAATCCAAAGGAGCTGTTCAATTTACGACATGCTCGACTTCGCAATGTCATTGAACACA